GTCATACAAAAAATATAAAAACAACATTTTACTGTCTGCGGCTGCACAGTCACTGAACACAGCAGCCATACGACGGAATGAAGCAACGGTAGAAAGATCTCACTGTTAAATCTAGTTTTGAATTTTTCAGCCAGTTTCTCAACACAGGCACTAGCCGTATGAATAATGACATCGGGTACTGTGTAGTAAACCTATAATATTGTATGTTCACATTTAGTTGAACCAGCATCAAACTAATAATCCGCTCATTCATTTGGCATACAACACAGTTTTGAAACTGTTTCTCTGCAGGAACCCTGCCCTGTGTTGGTCTTTTCTTTTTTGTTAAGAAGATTTACCATTTTTACAAACTGACTACAGGCATTTTCTTTGTGTAGTCGCCAGTACCAAGTACCCTCATGTTCAAAACTGTTTCTATCAGCAGTACAGCACTTTAAATAGAGCTATTTTAATTTCCAGTGAGGAGTTGTGCTCACTGGCAGTTGTGTTCAATCCAATATGCTGGGTTGTTTTCTTTTTGTTTTTTTTCACAAACAGTATTGCAATCAGTGTAATGTACCTGATTGATTAGTCTTAACTCAGCCCAAGTCTGCAATCCACATTATCAGACCGTTTTTGTTGCAAGTGATACAATATACTCCTGCGAAAAGTTTTATTAAACGACCAATCAGATCCCACCCCCGCAGCCTCCTAGAGATTAGAAATGGGAGCTTTGTCACGTTGTGTAAATCTGAAATGCCTTTCTAATTAGACTGACTTTTTTTAATTGGTTGGTTGTGCGTTTGTGTTCTGTAAGTACCAGTTTAAATCTATCTGTTATATAAGAAAAACACAAGCAAACATTTTAGCTGAGTCACAGACGCAGGCACATACTTGGTTTTCTACTCTGGGAAGATTCACATTCTCCAGAGAGTCACTTCATGACATCATATCCTTAGGCGGAGCAGCTAACAGGTAGCTGGTGCAGGTGAATATTTGCTGCGATTTCTGAAGCAGCATCTGTTTTGTTGCCATGCAATTTTAATATGGTCTGGCTTCTGCTGTCCAACCGCAGGAAGAGTGTAACGGCTGGAGTCTGAGAAACTGCTACCCCTCAAACACACACACACACACCTTGATAAATAAGAAAACACATTGAACCAGGTAGAAATACAGTCTGTAAAACTGCCTGTTTGAAGAAAATAACAGATTTACTTCTTCTTTAAAAAAATGTTGTTTATCTGTTAAAGATTTCCCGGCGGCTCCTTCTGGTCTCCGTTATCATATTGACTGAATGTATATCAACATATCATTTTGTAATCCTGGTTGGACGTTTCATCACTTTGCTTTAGTTAAACTCATAGCAACCCTGACATAAACACATCCGTCCTCCAGCCTGAGACAATGTTTCTGGGTTTCACTCATTTATTAAATCTTAAACGAGCTGAGATTGATCTGAACTCCTGTCCAATCAGCTCCTGTTTAAGATGTTGATGTGAAGTATGTACAACATAAGTTGATTCAGAACCTGAACTCAGCAAGGCTGCAGGCAGAGTGAATCTATAGAGTGGATCAATATTACTAAGGCTGCAGGCAGAGTAAATAATACAAACATGTTTCCAGGCTTGATGAATCTATAGAGTGGATCAATATTACTGTTTGCAATTGCAACTCACAACATTTTGTAATTTGCAAGTTGATTTATGATTATAAATGATGAAAATCACAAACACTTTGCAAGTGCAACTTGCAAATTACAAACTTTCGTTTTGGAATTTAAACACTAAGGTACCGATTTGTAAAACTCTCATTCTTGTGCAACTGATCCTGGATATGTGCCTGGAACTTCTGCTTGTCGTTGTTGCGAACACCTTGTCACTTTATTTGTTTTGAGTTTGTCACAAATTTCCTGCACACTTTGCAACCAACAACTTAGAAATAAATATAAGCATCCAGCAGGGGGCAGTTTTCAAAAGAATGGCACCCCAATAGGATGTAAGCAAAGTTTTCAGATTTCGGATTTTCTCCTTGGTTTTGTGAAGTGGACTGTAGTATTAAAGTTCAAGCAGTTCATACAAATACAGTAAACATGGGTTTTTATTTGAACTGTTTTTTCTCATTTTACTGTCTAATTTTTGTGTGTCCCACACACTCACACACAAGGACACACACTCCAGATTTGCTTGTTGTCAGTGTGTTCATACACTGCCTGGATGTCAATGGGCTGCTGTTTACCAAATGGCTTTGTTGTTCATCACACAGTCCTATTAAAATGGCATCTCATTACAGGCACTCAGTGGCCATTTTATTAGATTAATTGTGTTTTTTATGCCCTTTTCTCTTCATTGTTATTCCGTGTTGCATATGGATTCACCGTGACCATAACAACGGTACACATTCATATTACGAGAAGCCAATAGACAATTTGGAAGCGAGCCAGAGGGGGAGCTGTGTTGTTGTGTGACTAATGTTGAAGATGAAACATGATCTCATCATGTTGTAAATGTTTGTTTTTTTTTGTTTAGTTTAGTTTAGTTTTTACTAAATTGAAGGACCGTTTAGCAGGTGTTTGTGCGTGTTTTTTTTTAAATCAATAAACTCTGAGTTTACTTGACTTGAAACAAATTTGTAGCAGAAAAATAATCTCGGCACAAGGTGTTTGTAGTTTACCCAGCAGCCTTCAATCTCATCATGTTGACTTTACATAAATTACATTTGTCTCACACACGTAGGGCAGCCTGAGTCATAAATAATGCACAGATCCATCAACACATCTCGCAGCAGAGCAAATTGATCAAAAGAAAATCCATGTACATGCAGTACTATATATATACATATATATTCTGTATACCCAAGCAGTGTTTGTATGTGGTGGAAGTGTAAAAGCTTTAAAAAGTCCTTACTGGACTTTGACAGTCTATATTTATCTGTAGGTTCGTGATGTTAAAGGAAAATGTTTCAAATCCAAATCTTGAACAAAACTGTTTTCTAGGTTCAACCATTTTAGACCTTAACAAACCAAGTCAACTGATTCACATTAAAACAGTTACCTGGACAGTTGTATGTAGATGAAGAATTAAATTAAAAGCTAATGAAATCCATTAATTTATTTTTTCAATTATTTTGACAGAAACCAACACAATGGTTATTTTTAAGGACTTTCTCAGTGTTACACTAAACTGTATATTCAGTGAAGAAAATTCTAGCCATAGCAAATAGCATCCACACTGTATACCACTACACTGTAGTACTCCTTTTACAGTACTTGGATAATGTATTACAGTAATAAGATTTCTTTTGGTCCTGTGGAATATACTTAGGACCAGTTTGTCCCAGCAGCCTTTTGTCGGCATTAGTGTCTTACATAAAACTGAATGACATTTTGTTTTATGTGAGTATCATAAAATAAAACTTTATTTTAATACTTCCACAGCAGATGAAAGGAGGAGAAACAACATTATGTTTTATGTTTAATGCCTTAACAAAAACTTTTAGCAGATCAATGTAGTTAATGTTAAACAGTTACTTTTTGGAAAACAACTTGCTGTGATCTGCACTGTTGAACATGGATGTAAACGTTTACTGTGACATCTAATTCCACCATCAGGTATTTTTGTAAGCAGTTTTAGTGCCATATGTTTTTTGCAGTGGGAATTATTTTGTTATAAAAATTGTTTTTTCTGCACTTTTTTTAGAACAGACTTTATAAAACAATTCTCAGATGATTAGGGCCTTGAACAAAACATATTGTAATGAGCGCTGGGACTGGTTGTATTTTGAAGTCATTAATCTTACTCATTTTAATCCTTTCCTAAAATCACAAAAAAAAAAGAAAAAAAGAAATTTATTAGGTAACCTTTTAAATAAATAATCTCTCGTTCTTTGAGAAGTGCTCTTTTAAAGCCTTGGTAAAAGTCCATATTGTGCTAGTCCTTCGAGTCCTCTTTACAATAGAAGTCGTTTTTAAAATGCAGGTGATGCATTTGCCCTGGAAACCTTCTCAGACTATTTCTCCATTGTTTTAGAAAAATCAAACCCCGGTAATCAATGGTCGTGATCATGAATGGTTACGAAAACGTCTGCACAGCATCCATGATGAAAGCTCTGTGCAGCTTTTGGCCTTGAGCAGCGGTATTAGTCTCCTTCCAGAGCTCGTACAGCAGGCCTGCAGTGCATGTAAATTACATCTGGAGTGTATTTACCTTTCAGGTCAAAGACGAACATAAAAAGGCTGCGGCACTCCCACTGGTGGCAATTGTAATGAGGATACAGGCTCTTGTGAGCAGCCAGTGCATTGACCCACATTAGTGTTCTGCCAGAGGCCTTCAGAGGCAGCGGTGAGGAGACGGAGAATAATAGCTGCATGGAATATCTGAGAACAAGCATTGTATATTAAAATATGTTCACAGAGTGCCACAAGACTGTTTCTGAAAAAAGAAAAGTAAAAGGGATTAATGGAACGTATTCTCAGCCCTTGGCACAGATTCCCGAGCGATCATCAGAGCGCTGTGATGATCGCTGGACTTTAAACAACGGAATAATGGAGACAGTGCTGCGGCAGCAGTGGACTGAGTGAGGCACCAACATGGATTTTAAAAATTAGGTCATTTTATAAATAGCAGAGACCTCTTTGGAAAAAAAAAGACATTTAATTTGAAGCTGCGTTATAAAAGAAGACGACACAACAGACACAGGAAGCAGTGGTTAAAATCACAAACCGTCGATGTCATAATGCAACATATAATTCCTCCTAACAAGGTTGAGAAATTGTAATAAGAAACTTCTCATCCTTAGTAAATCATTTCTGATCCTTTAAAATATGTTTCCGGGAATTTTACAAATGAGTGAAATTTAAATTTTTTTAAGACAGATGTTAAATCTTCAAAAGATTTCAGTAAATTCAGATTGTCTAAAGGGTGAGTTAAAAATTGATACCATAGCACTGAGTAGGTGGAGCCGTACACCTCTAATACAATGATTTTGTATGACTTTGATGACTTTATTACTATATTCTTTACTTTAGAATCAAATTGCAGCAATAATCTTTTTAATTGAAATAGTGCCACCTATAGGGTCTGATTTTCACTGCTAAATATTCCCACCCACAAACTCTGTTCCATTTACAAGGCAGGTCAAAATTGTTGATGTACAAAATACTGCATTAATGAAGCTATAAAACAGTTGGGATGGATTTATACCAAGCCTTATATATGATCTTTATAATTACTCATCTAAACCTACACAAATCTACACTGACCAGCCAAACAATAAAACAGGTGAATGGTTTTAATTTCCCACTGCATCAGCAGGTGTTTGACTCTGTTCAGCACTGAGGTCACAGAGGATTAATGCAAGTTAATAAAAGGGTTATTTTTCCCCTTCACATACTGCACTTAGCAAAGTCTGATTCTTCACCCATTCAGGAAACCTTTTTTTGCTAATTAAAACACGCTCTCAATTAAGATGTTTTATTTTCACAGGGTTTAGACGGGAAAAAAACTGTACAGCTGCTTTGTGTCGTTCTGTTCAAATTGCAGACTGAATAAGGAAAGAAGAGCAGGGTCCTTTCAGCTGCTCCCATTAGAGAGAGTGTTTGACTGCGTGCAAATTTAATGTGCAATTTAAGAGCTGCGGTAACAACCTTCAACAAATTGACCCTTTATGTGTTACAAAATTGCCCACCAACTGTTGTTGTACCTGGTTAGAGGTGGATGCTGGGAAATTTCAATTGCCTACTTTGACATCTGTCGTGAAGATTTTCATCCCTGCACGACCAGGAAGCTGATTTTATTCCATTTATTAATGAAAACAAATTCAGTTGACAGGATGCATTTACTTTTTACTTTTTACTGTTCAACATCAAAAATATAACCTGTTACAGGACAGACTATTCTATCTGTCATTCAGTATTCCTCTCTAACTCTGTTATTTTAGTCATATGTCATGTAAAAGTGAGTTAGTTGTTGAATAAAAAATGAACTTGATAGGCGTAGCGTTTTATGATTTATGTGGGAAAAATAACAAAACAAAAATAATTTGGCAGTGGAGCATCGGTTCCAACAAATGCAGCTTATTTATTCATAGATGTCCCTTCATTTCCATATAAATGTGCGTGGCCTCTTAGAGGTTTGTTTGTGTTGCGGCTCCACTCAGTGAAAGCAAACAAAAATCTAATTTCTTGGCAGTGATTTCTTTGTCTCCCGGAGCCAGCATGTGGCTATTATTTCACCTCGTGAGATATTCTTTCAGTGTCTCCGTATCTGATTTCCCACACACTTGTCACAGATTGAGGTTTGTATGTATGTATTAACAACACTACTTCACAGCTGTCACTGTGTTTCCACTCCCAGGTGCCAGTGTGCATCACTTTTGTAAAGAAAGACAAAATGTTGCACTTCAGTACCAGATGCTTTTCGCCCTCTTCACTGCAGAACTTGAGCAGTGAATAACAATAAGTTGTTTATTGAGTTATTGTACCCAGCGGCAGTGGCCTGTGAAGAGATTATCATTGCCACCGTGGAGCTCATTGGTACTCACAGGGTGTTCTTCAGTTTGGTGTTATCAGAATTAAAGAGGGCGTCGGGGAAAAGTTTTCTTTTTAAGGATTAAATAACAAATCGATGAGAAAAACAATGAATGTCACCCTGGACAGAGAACAACTGCAGACAAAAACGCACTTTAGCCTCACGAAACATTTGATTAACAATCGCAATTTCTCACATTGACTATGATGAAATAGCCAATTAAAATGGCCTTCGGTCAAGGCTTGTCCACATTTTTTAACAAAACACAGAAAACAACAACAACATTCATTAGTTCATCTTCTACCACTAGAGGGGCGAGCTGGAGCCAATCCTAGCTGTCGTTTGGCTGGACAGTTCAACAGCCTATCCTGTGTGAGTTTGAAGAGTGGGAGGAGTTATCATTTAGTGCTCAAACTGGGGCTCATTTTACTGTAAGGCAGTGGTTCTTAATTATTTTCTGTCATGTCCCCCCCCTTGAGGACAGACACCCACAGCTATATCACGGAAATGCTGTAGAATCTCACAGCAAGATTAGATTTTTAACAGATGCTGTTCAAAAATCTCGCGGAAAGTGAAAAAAAAAAAAAAATTACACGGCATAATTATCACTGTTTCCCCTCATCAGACAGTTTTAGGAGTCTGTTGAAAAAGACTCCACTGAACCACTGACAGTTTGGTCTTTGGAAATGATCGTTAGTAGAATAGAATAGAATAGAATAGAATAGAATAGAATAGAATAGAATAGTCTTCTGCCAAAATCACAGCCCAAACTAGTACATTTCAAACAAACAGAAAGTCCTTCTTAGAGAACTTAAATATAATTCAATTAAAATATGATAAAGTTAAATATTTTTTTATAATTTGATTTGGAGTCTGATGATTTATCATTACATGTTTAGCTCATTTGTTATAACTGAGGAAGATGATGAGGTTAATTTTTATTATAAAAAAACTCAACTGTGTGCGTCTGTGATTTCCTGCAGTGAGTGGTGCGATCATGAGACTGACATGGAAGTCTATGGACAAGATGAGATGTTTCAGGAAACGATCCTTGTTCCCGTTCCTCAGCTTCTTAATCGTCTTTCTGTTGTTCTTCAACCTCTTCATGGATGGTGGTTATGTTCTGGTGAGTATCTCCGATACCATCGTCCCCTACACTCTACCTATCCTAACTACTGTGAATTTTACACCCACTGTTTTTGTTGTGATCATTTTAGGAGGCTGAAAAAACACAAGCAGCAGAGATGCTGATGCATTCTGCCAACTCTGAGAGATACGTTCACACGTTCAGAGACCGGTCCAATTTCTCTGGGACCATTAACGTAACTTATCGCTATCTTGCAGGGATTCCACTGCCACGAAAAAGTAGGTGTTTCTGCCAAGAATTATCAGCTTTAAACATTCAGTACTGTGCAAAGGCTTTGGGGGGGAAGGGGTCAGAGGGAGTGGGTGCATTTACAATACCTTTCTTCTGCAGCAATATAGAGGGGATGACTGTGGTTCTGTGGGTAGTGCGGTGTCTTACACAGGGAGGGTGGTGGGTTTGGTTCCAGACTTGGGAGGTAGACATCTGAGTTTATAATCTTAAACTTATTAATAATATTTACTAAATGAACACAGGACACTGGGAAACATTTATTAAGATTGGGTCTTTGGTTCTCTACTCTTTCCTCAAAAATACTTGAGAAAGAAGTCTAGTCCTATTATTTATAAGTAGATGTACGTATACACCTGCCCAAAGCTTTTGGACATGACACTGTATTTTAATCAAGTAAAAGCAATGTAAGTATTTGGATTTAGTTGTTCAATAAATAATACCGTCTTGATGTTCACAGAGTATCTTACAATTGGTCTGTCATCTGTCAAGAGGAAAAAGGGCAATTACCTTCTAGAAACCATCAAATCCATCTTTGATCAGTCCAGTTATGAAGAACTGAAAGAGATCGTGGTCGTAGTCCACCTGGCAGACTTTGACGTCATCTGGTGTGAGAACCTGGTGCAGGAAATCACCAGAAAGTTTGCGCACCACATCATAGCTGGACGCCTCCTGGTGATCCAGGCTCCGAAGGAGTACTATCCGTCTCTGGAGGGTTTAAAAAGGAACTACAACGACCCGGAGGACCGGGTCCGTTTCCGCTCTAAGCAGAATGTCGACTATGCGTTCCTTCTCAACTTCTGCACCAACCTCTCCGACTTCTACATGATGTTGGAGGACGATGTGCGCTGCTCCAGGAACTTCCTGACAGCGCTGAAGAAGGTGATCACGTCCAGAGAAGGCTCCTATTGGGTGACCCTGGAGTTTTCAAAGCTCGGCTACATTGGCAAGCTGTACAATTCCAGAGACCTGCCTCGTTTGGCCCACTTCCTTCTCATGTTCTACCAGGAAATGCCCTGCGACTGGCTCCTCATCCACTTCAGAGGGCTCCTGGCCCAGAAGGATGTGATCCGATTTAAGCCCTCACTTTTCCAACACATGGGCTACTACTCCTCCTACAAAGGTGCAGAAAACAAACTAAAAGACGACGATTTTGAGGAAGATTCTGTAGACATACCTGACAACCCTCCTGCCAGTATTTACACAAACATTAACATCTTTGAAACCTATGACACTAGCAAAGCCTACAGCAGTATTGCTGATGAGTATTTCTGGGGGAAACCACCGTGCACTGGAGATTTCTTCATGATCATCTTCAATAAACCGGCTAAAATTAGTCGAATCAAAATTGTTACCGGTTCAGATGATCGTCAGAATGACATGCTTCATCACGGGGCTCTGGAGGTGGGGCAGAGGTCTGTGGACACCAAACATGGAAGGCAGTGCACGTCCTACATCACGCTGGGGGAGTTTAAAGGTGGACACATCGAGGTAAACAATGTGGACCACAAGATTGGCTTCGACATCGAATGCGTGCGAATTGTAGTTACTGCCAATCAAAGAGAATGGCTTATCATAAGAACTATAAGTTTGTGGACCATGCAGCCCGCCAGTCAATTAAAGGAGTAACACGAGAGGTTTGTAATTTAACACGTGTCTGTACAGTTTTAATATTTTATACTGCATCTTCAAATTATATTTCACTTCTATCCTTTACTGAATTCAGTACAATCCAGATTTTCTGGCGTTGTTCTTTCATCTACTGTATGTGAAATATTCAAATGAGCAGGTGCACAGTGTGAAGCCTTTTTACATGTGTTTGTTTTCAGAAAAATCTGTATATAAAGTTGTTAATACCTGGCTGGTGGTATGTGTCCTTCTTCCAAGCTAATTTTTATAGAAATTATAAATTAATTCACCAGTCATACTTTTCTTGTAGATTCTGACTGATATTTTATAAAGACTGGTTCCAGCTTTTTGTCTTACCTCCTACACTGAAGTCTGCTGTCTGGTGCAATTAACAGATAGCAGGCTGTGTTGTTTATGAATTTTAAAAATGAAGGTAAATTTCATTCATCTTTGTGTCATCTAAAATGTAAAAAAAAAATATGTATATTCTCTGACTGAGGAATTGAGCAGCTCATTTCCAGAAAGCTAGAGTCTAGGTAAAAAAGACAGATAACCAAGTAGAATTGAATAGAACTTTATTGTCGTTGAGAAGACACCAAACACTTCATGAAATAAAATTCTACTGCAGTTATGCAAAATAATGATTAAATAGTCACACATAAAAACAGTAGATGGAAATGTAAATTATAACTGTTAAATTAATGGCATAAATAAATATGTAATAATAAAATAAATAAAAGTCTACGCTACCACTCAGTTAATTGCATTTCTTTACTATACCAATGTACTAAATAAATGAAGCAGGAATTCTTTGGCTATTTACTGAGACGGTTCACGTAGTCTTTTTTTTCAGCAGGGAAAACTATAAATGATTTGTATACTTTGCTTCCATCTGCTGGTGGATGAAGCTCTGCATAAAGAGAATCCTAACAACATGGAGATGAGATGGTTCGTTATATCCATTCTGAATATTTTTTATTAATAAGAATTTATGGAGGACATTCATTTAGAGTGGTCGATTAAAAAACATGTTGTATTTGAGAAGCATTTCCAATGGAAATATTTGTTGTAAATGAGAAATATCGCACATATGAGTATCTTTGGAAGGAGTTGTTACATTGTATATGTCACGTTGATTATGGTGGTGCGGTGTTGTATTGTGTGTTTGTATGTGGCCAACTGGGGCCCTGCTGCTTGTTGAGTCTCACAGCAGCAGGAAAGAAGGACTTGAAGTAGTTCTTCACTGCAGAGACAACGTGCCCTGAATTGGGAAGGAGACAGAGTCTGCGGGGATAGAAGCTTCACCTCCTGCTTTGTTCCTCCAGCTACACTAGGTCAAGCTGACATCTCAGGACAGAGCTGGCCTTTTTAATCAGTCATCAGTCAGTCCAGTCTAAGCTGAGATGCTTTTGCCTCCATAGACCCTCCCAGGAAATCTTTTTTTATCTTTTAATCTTTAATCTTTTTTCTTTTTTTTTCAGGGTTGTATACTGCTACAAAAGACTTAAAGGCTTTAAAAAAATCCTTGTAGTTGTATTGTGTAAAGTGATTTAATAAACATACATTAAGTAATCCTATAATGAAGCATTCAAACAAATACAGATTTAACAATTGATTTAAATAAAGTTAAGCAAACTCTTAAAGTTTGAGTTACATTAGCATTACATTTTTTAAAAAGTAGCATTAGAGCACATATTGTTCTTGGTTAATGTTTGGGTAAATACTATTATAATCTTCATCCGTTGTTTTATTTGATTAATGCCACATTTTAAAACAGACAACATTTTTGTTGATAATCAGCATATAGTGTCCATAAATTGTTGAAAGTGTTTGTCCGTGACATCATCAAACGGCGACAGAGCTGCTATGGCGTCTGCACAAACATCACAAACTAACCGACAACTTCTGCAGCTAGTGTTTTCGGTCTGGTAAGAAACTACTTTCTCTTCTAATTTCTTATGTTAGCACTTTGATGCTATGGCTTCAAAGCCTTAGCATGTGTTGAATAGAGAGTTTGTTGTTTGATATGGAGCTAGCTTTTGCTAGTTAGCAGCATGCTACCATTACTGCGAGTCAAGTCGTTTGGAGCCGATGTTTACTTGAAGGCTGTTGTATCACGAAGATATATTTGCAAACATTCGCTCGAGTTTCATGAAACTGCAACAAAAGGGGTTAGTATTTGTCGCTGTTATATTTAGTCATGAATTAACCCTGGTGTTTCATTCTTATGATCGATTATAAGACGCTAGAGAGTGGTCTAATTGAGTTCATATGAAAACTGTTTGGTGACTTTCGGTTTGTAATTTGTCGACACAGACCTTTGGAAGCCTGATGGTCACAACATAGATAAAATACACACTTTAAAGCTTTTGGGATTATTATTTTAAGGATTATTTTAACTTTAATTCAAATGAGCAAAATTACATGTTTTTCTGTAGTATCAGAAGTTTTGATACGCACAATTTCATTCTCTTTTTTCGTATGACGTTCGTGGTTTAATAAGGAAAATGTAGGTAGAGCAATATATAAACCCATATTCGTGAACGTACATGCAATAGAAAGCCTTTACGAATGTTTTAGTGACTTTAAACTTTGACAATATTCCCTACCGTTTTATTACTCTCGGGTGTGCAGTTTTGTATTTAGCTAAGGTGGCCTCCCTTCAAGTAATCTTGACATATTGGGTGTGTTACATGTTTGTACATGAGATTGAAGTAGACAACAGTCCCGTTGAAGGGTAATCAATAGTACTTAAGATCCTTGGACAGGAATGGCACAGTGAGGGATATTATTCATTAGGTCCAATCGTTGCTGGTGTAACCTTTAATTTTAGCATTGGATTTGCTAAAATTTCAGATTAGATTAAATTAGTATTGATGATATGAGTTTAGTTTACAGGAAAAACACAAGTGAATAATTAAAGGTGTATTTGTCTCTTGCTTAAAAACAATGAGAAAGCATAGCAAGTAGGAGATTGGTGTCTTGTTGAAAGAGGTTTTGCTTCCGTGACTGATATTAAATCTTTTCCATCCTTTAAATTCTTATCATCCTGGTGTAAAATCCATACCACTATTTTAAATAAAGTGGAGTTTGGCTCAAAAGTGGAAAAAAGTGCTGTCAGAATTTTAAAGTCACAGCTGTAAAATTCACCGACACATTTAAGACTCTTCAGCCAACCTTATGTACTCACTATTTTACATCAGCTCAAAATTGGACTTTGTTTAGTATAATGTTTTAAGTAAGAGATCACTCAGCTGTATGTCCACAAATGCTGACAATTTATTATGAGCTGAATTTACCAACATCATCTGTTAGTACCTGTAATTCCAAGTAACTTGTTGTCTTTTAATCCTGTATTATGCACATATTTAAACAAAGAATAAAGAAATGGTTAAATCTAGGTTCTAACAACTCACTTTGATTTGTGCTCACCAGAGTTGAATGTGGTGCATCGTTGTTCAGCTACTGTCCTGTAAGTGCTGCTGCTGGGATGGGCCAGCAGATCTCAGGTCAGGTGGTGAATCGTCTGCCTGAGAAGGTGGTGAAACACATGGGACTGGTCCGTGACAGTGGTTACGTCACCTATGAAGAGTTTCTGGCCAGAGTGGCTGAACTTAACGATGTGTAAGCCTCATTGTCATTTGACTCATTTTACAGCAGCGCAGTCCTACAGTTTACTGTTCAATAATAATAACAAATGCTTAGTTTACTCAGACACACATTTATTTTAATAAAAAGTGTCAACATTTTAGCAGGTTGAGAGAACTTTTCATGTAAACTAAAATAAAAGAAAAAAACATTTACCTTGGAAATAATCTCTGTTCTTGAAGAGTCACTTTCACTACGTTTTTCACAGCTTCAAGTCTGCTGTCTGAAGTTAGCTTATTTATCTCAGTATTATTCTAAATCCTGCCTCTGGGTTGTATTTAAATCCTTAGCCTCTTTTATCTGATACAGTACAGCCAAGCTAGCTGCTGGACAGCAGAAGCACCTGCTGTTTGAGGTGCAGCCAGGATCTGATGCAACAGCCTTGTGGAAGGTAGCTGTCAGGGTTGTCTGTACCAAGGTGAGAATTTCTTTTTACATCACATTAATCACAATGAGGGGGCAAATCATTAAATGCATTGCGTAAGACAAAATTCACCGTTAAATGTCCTTTATGTGATGAAAATATGACTCAATTTTTATGTTATGAGACTTGTGACTTAAGCAGCTGAATAAAATAAGTCAATATTATTGACTTTGTTCATTGAAATAAGACTGTTTTCCTCTTTCCCAGATCAACAAAGAGAATGGTATGGTTGAAGCATCACGCATCATGAATCTGTACCAGTTCACCCAGCTCTACCGTGACATCACCAGTCAGGCTGCTGAGGTGCTGTCTGCAGAAGGCACCACTGAGGGTCCTTCTGCACAGCTTCCATCGACGGACTCCTGCCAGGCCAGCATGTGGATGGGCAGGTCAGTTCTCATGAACATTACCTAAGTCATGTTATCAAAAACAAATTACAGGCTTGGTGAATAATAATAATATATAATACATTTTATTTAAAAAGCGCCTTTCAGGACACTCAAGGACACTTTACATCAAATAATAAAACAGATAATAAAAGTAAACATTGGTAAACATAAGAATATCAGAAACTAGAATTTCTGATTAAAAAAAAAAGCGTGTCCAACTGCTTCACTACACAGAGTGAAGCAGTTGACTGATGAAGAGGAGTGCTGCATCTGTATGGATGGAAAGGCTGACCTTATCTTGCCGTGTGCACACAGCTTCTGTCAGAAGTGCATTGATAAATGGTAAGAACAATAGTGAACATGTATGCTCCAGATCAGAAAACCCTTTTTTCACATTGTTTTCTGCTCACACAGGAGTGGTCAAAGCAGAAACTGCCCAATATGCCGTCTGCAAGTGACTGCTGCCAATGAATCTTGGGTAATGCCTGACTTCCCCACAGAGGATGACATAGCAGGTTATATTCTCAACCTGGCCGATGAAGCTGGCCACCCACACAGGCCTTAACACAGAACACTGAGCTATTCAGGCTTCAAGGGAAATGAAACGGTACCATGTAGACTGCAACACACAATGTCACCTTTCACTGACAAGGAATTTCAAAAAACTGATAAGAGGCACATTTAAAACAAAAACCTTAGTTCTACAGAACACTTCTTTTCAAGCTTATCGTACTGAAGAAGTTATAAGAGCAGAGCTTTAATGAGGACACGTCTGAGCTTCTGTCCCTGCAGTGAAGTCTCACATTAAAACTTAACCCATCAATATACTTATACACCACAAAGGTTTGATGTATGTGTCACAGTTGTAACAAAGTAGTCGGTAATATTTATTGCATTTTTTTCAGATATGAAATGTGTGCTGTTGACTGTACTGCACGCCATACAGATATCCAAGTCACTCTTTTACAGAAAGGGAATTGTGTGTCCAATATATTCTAAATATGGAAGGTTATCCCAAAAAATATAGACTTGTATTTTAATTTAAAATAAAATTTTAAAATTCAAAGGTTTGATTTGTGTAGATATATGCATGCATATATGTAGATGTGTATATCTATATATATATATATAAATATCTATATAAATATATAAAGACACATATAAACATATATGCAAATATATATTTATATATGTGTGTCATACATACACACACAAACTGTATGTTGTATTGTGGGTGTAATGCTTTATAAGAACTATGTAATATTACACTACGTTGTCCAAAATGAAAACTGAATATTTTTTGGTAATCAATACTTAATTACTCCTGAAATTATAGTTAATATTTTAAACAGTATGTCAGAAAGACCCTTGTGATGTAAATATTACAACAGGTGCTCTGAGGAGAAGTTTGCTATTACATTTATATATAAATATAACTGAAAAAAGGTGCAAAAGTATAATAGAAATAATAAAGATTAATTCAGGGAAGACAATTGACAGACATAGTTTATATTATATATGATAATTTGGAACTTAGGGTTTTTAGGTAATTAGGTACCGTAATTTTTATTTTAACTATTATACTTCAGAGTATTGTAAACTATTATATGGGCCTCTACACTGAGCAAGTTTACTCGTACATTCAGAACATGGTATAAAGATGTATCGATACATCAGGCCTGACCTTTGTTTTTATGGCAAGTTTGCTAATGCAGAAAACATTTCAATTTTAGCAAAAATAACATTTTTTAATCAACACATCATCTTCACAATACTTAATTTATTTTAATTTGCAGACTAATAGTACTTTATTATTGTCTTTATATTTTTTTCCACAACAATAAATCACATTGCCTCGTTTATAAAGACAGACAGATCTCAGACATATTTTTTCTTATGATATCCAAGTAAACAAGAAGTATTTTTACTTTAAAACTAGAATGCTGGGTTTTTCTTTTGTGAAATATAGAATCACTGCTGACATATTACATATTACTGCTGACAAATGTGAATATTAAATTTAGCTAGAGATTTCTTTTTTGTTTGACAAAGCTGGTTCATTATTTAGTGTTAAAATGTGTAGAAGTATTCAATTATTTAATGTAGTTCTTACTGTATGTAATTGTGTGAATATGTTTGCTTTAAAACTTATTTTCTTAACAATCGCGTGTCTTTTTTTTCATAATTTTGCTCGTTGATGCTGACAAGTTGCACTTTAACACTGACTGCATCCGTCTTGTGAGTATTTCTTAAGTCTACCTGCTCAGTTGCTTCTTTTTCAAACATAAATGTGATCATCACATGGATGTGTTGACCATTAAAACATTTTTAAATAGCCAACAATGTGTAGGCTCCATCATTTTAGGTTGTTAAAAGTATAAAATTGTGTGAAATATCAAATCATCCTGTATACTGCACAGATACTACAAATTCTATAAAAGCCTGTGTTTTTTCATGTTGAAACCTCTAGATGGAGGCATCGACTCACAACATTTAAATCCGATGACGTCGTAAATAACAATGAAATGTATTTGAAATCTTTGTTAGAATATTATTCTGGTTACAGAAAATAATGGAAATAGAATTGACAGGGCTATGAATATACTCTACATATTACTATATATGTGTGTGTATATATATATATATATATACACACACACACATATGATTGTGTGTATATACTCTCTCTCTCTATATATATATACTGTATATATTCATATTGTCAGACGTGTATATACAGATGAAATTTAAGTTTTGGATAGATCTTAAATCACAATATGGCAAATTTATAGCCCAGCATTGTAGTGATGTCATTGTTGCATCATTAATGGTTGTTGACACAATTAAAATGTTCCTTGGTGTTGAGTTTTGGCAGCAAGTAGTATGAACAGATGTATTACCTTTTTAAAAAACAAATGTTTTGTCAGGGCATTTAGCACACTGGATAATGGATGTTTAGAATTTTGGTAAGAATAATTCAATAATAATTTATTTAGTATAATTTAAAAGCAGTTTTTTTGTTTAACATAAATATTAACTTGAATTAAAATGTACTTTTCAAAGTTGCTTTGAACGGTCCTTAAAAAAAGTTTTCTTTTCATGAATAGGCAAAACATTCATTTAAATTGATTTATAAAATGTCCAAACATAAATAGAAGCAAGAATGTAGTTTTATGTTATTTGCAGTGTCATTTACATTTAACTTTGTTGTTTTGTTTTTTTCTTGTAATGATCTTATGTTGACTTATTGACGCTACTGTTTTGTGCCTGTGATGAATGTCAAAGTATCATTAATGTTTACCATTAATGTTTAACTAATCCTTCCATTCTCTATCGCTTATTCCTTTGCAGGTTCATGGGGAGTGTTTGAGCCAATACCAGCCGTCAACGTGCGAGGGAGGGGAACACCTTGGATAGCTGGTCAGTCCATTCAGGGCCACATATTTAGGCGTTTAACTTTGGCCCATTTAAACTTTTTATTTCCTTAGAAAATTTACTTTTACCCTGAAGTTTTTTTTTATCTCTGCCTTTGATCTAATGTAACCTCAACGAGTTATGAGCAACTAAAAAAGAAAAAAAAACACCGTAACCTTATCAACTGTTATGTAGTTTTTATTTTACATATAAAACCTGAGAAACATTAAAAACATAAAAAAGTCAATCAAATCACAATGTACTTCAGACTTGTTAGATGTGAACCTGTCTGAGGATCATTCATTGTGCAGTTATCATTTACGTTTAAAAGATGAACTATGAAAATGAAAAGATTTATAAATTTATAAAACTTTACAAAACATGCTTTCACAAAAAATTGACGTTTATGCCCTGCTTCTACATTTGTCCATAACAAAACACAATTTGCTTAATTCAAATCTGCTTTGTGGTTGAAATGTATTTCACAGCAGAAGTGAAGTTGTAATAATAAAGGTAAGGGTGGTTTGCAGTAACAGTAACAAATTGCCATTTTTTTATTGCCATATTACGGCAGTATGAATATGTCTGCAGACCAATCAGAGCTCTGTTGACTACAACATCAAGACAGCCCTTCTTTTGCTTCTACTGACCGCTGCATTGCTCTTCTATTGCTAAGCTGCAGAGAAACCTACAAAGCTAAATAAGATTATGCTAACAGCTGCTTCAAATGTCAATTGAATAAAACATAACTTTAAGTCTCTAGAATGGCTTTTTTAAAGTTATGTTAAAAAACAGATTTGTGTTTGCTTGCTCTTACCCACAGTGTGCAGGTTACAGTTTTCACTACTGCAGTTGATTACTGCGATGGGTTAATGACCTCATCAGTCTTTACGGCGTCCACTAGAAAACTCAGCTCGTTGCACAGAGTTTCGTAGCGATAGGCCATGCGTATTTGTGCCACATTTGTCCGCCGTATGTCGTTGCCCTCTGGTCCGTCCTCAAGGTAGTTGGGGCCGATGAAGTGTTTCTTTTCCTGTGGGGAAAAGCGATCTCGTTAGAAACCGTTTCATGTTTTTGGCTCTTGTAATAATATTTTAGGCACACTACATAGCAAGAGCCATTGTCACACATGTACATGCAGATTCACTTTTTAAATAGTTTTTTTTTTTCAGTATCAGTATCATGGTTGTTTCACTCAATATAAACTAATGTGGTATATAGCATTTTTAAAGCCTTTAATTGCCAGCACTGCAATATTTTGCCACAGTTTATCCCTCTGAAGTACACAAACAGTTTCTGTGGTTGATCTAATTAAGCCTTGAGTTACACCTGGTGTGAGAGGCCACTCTGCAGCACACTGTTCCTCGCTATTTCACACAGATCACAGGTACTGAGCTTCCACAACTGGGCAGCAATTGCATATTCCTCCATTAAAGGCTCCTAAATGGAATACAAGAGACAATTTTAGTAAGTATTTGATTCTATTCTGGTTTGTTTTTGTTTGTACACATTTTGTAGCTGTGATAAAAAGTGTTTACCTTGGTGTAATGGAACTGCATAGGGTCATCAGTGGACAGAGAAACACACAGGCCTTTTTGTAGGAATTCGTGCAAAGGGTTTTTTGAATACTGCAGAAACAGGCTGTTGTTGCTCAGTGGAGACATGGCGATTGGGATCTGGGCCAGGTAGTACAGGTACTGCAAGACTGGACTCTGGGGGCAAGGAGGAGATAGCAATAAATTACACGCGTATGTGTTTACCCTTTTTTTGTACACAGGACATTTGTTTTGTCAGGGTTACTGGGTCATTTAGTGAAAACTGCACCTTTTTGAGGTTGAGTCCATGAGAGATGTTGTCAGCTGTCAGAAAAGCAGAGACGAGATGTGTGATGGATCCAGCCTCACCACAGTGGGGACGAAACTGGAAAGTGTTGAGTCCTCCTTCCCTGAAGAGAAAACACAACATTTTACTTTTTATGGTTGAGTTACATTTAGTTTAACACTGAACCTTTGCTGTAACTTTGACCAAAATTTGCAAATGCAAATCATTTGTTGCATTTAATTGGTATCTTTATTATTTTGGCTATAATCCAACGACTGTCTGTTTGATTCCCAGTCCCAGACTGTGGTGTTGTGTCGGTCCTACGGTACTCACTTGCGAAGGTTGTTTAGCACCATGATGTTGGCATACATGTAGAACAGGTAGTAGGTGTAGGGAGGGTTGTCATCTTCAGTCCATGCTTCAGGTTTCGGACTTTTGTAAGTGAACAAGTGGTCACTGTGCTTGGACTCATCATCCACACTGTCAAATCCTGTCACCTACAGGAAACAGTAAGAACCTGTTCAGGAAGTGGATCCTGTATCTGACACACTCAGCAGGGTGATATATAATTCAACTGTGTGCAGTGGTTTATCTTCTCTACTCTTTGTAAGAGAGGAGAAACTTTTATTTCTTGACATTAGTGTAAAAGTTGCTTTTTCCTTGTCTGCAGGGGTTGATTTAAAGGTTTGGGTCGTTTTAATGCCTTTAAAAAATAGCTAAAGTCAAATCTTTTTCATTAGGGCAAAATATAATGTTGGCTTTTGCTGGAGATGTGTGAGATTTGTCACAGGTGACAATAAGCTGATGTATGACTTTATACACATTTCCTTATACACATGCATTGTCCATGTTCAGCCACCAAAATAGAACTTACGTATTTTAAAAATACGTGGATGTGCTTGTGCTTCTGTGGGTTCACCGTTGCTTCAAAAAGAGGTAGAAAGATGTTTTCCAGCATCTTGGCAAAGTTTGGGACTAATTTCTGTGACCTGAAAATGTCACTGTAAGAAAAACATTGATAGATTAATTCACCCTTATGTTAATGAAACTAATGTTTAAGCATCGGTTGCTTATTTACTGAATTAAAAGTAAAATACAGACTATGAACAAATATTTTATTATTAATTTCTATTGAAATAATTAAGACTTTTACATGGTGTTAAAAAAGGAAAACAGATTTTACTTATCAGGATTTTTATAGCAAATTTTCCTGTAAAATATAATTTCATACCATTTAAAATGTATACATTTTAGAGAGAAACTGTTTCACTGTAGGCCTTAGTAGTGTCTTTGACCACTTACTAGATTCTTGGAACTTGGATCATCCATCTCATGTTGGGTGAGTGCACTTTGTGCTGAATAAACCAGGTTGCCAGACCCTCCCACTCGCTCTGAGAGCGGCCGTAGATGGACAAACGAGGCTCAGCGTGCTGATATTTACTCTCCTCCAGCTCCTTAGCCACTTCCTGAAACAAAGACCAAAACCACAGGAAGTGTGTGATGTTTCATGATAAAGCAGAAGTGAATGGCAATAATTCAACACTTGCCAGAGAGCAGCGAAGCATTCAGTACTTTTGCAAACAAAAAAAACCTTTGTTCTAGAGTAGCAGAAACAAGAGAGAGAAAAAAACATAACGACTTCCAATCATCTTCTTAGTTGGTCCAAGGTATCAACAACTTTACTACTTAATTTTGGCACAAAAGGCTAAGTGTAAATGCATGTAGTATTTTTAATTAAAAGTAATCAGATTAAACACTTGAAGTGCATCAGTAAAAGAACATTATGCAATAGTAGCTTCTACTGCACCTTGATGATCCGGGCAAAGTATTCCCCTTTGATGTAGTTGTCTGTCTTCAGGTAAATCTCTCGCAGTTCACTGGCTCCCACTGGGTTGTACTTGGAGTTGAACTTGTCAAAGCGATGAAATGTTTGTCTTCCCTAGAAGAATAATATGACAGTCAAACTAAGTTGAACTTATGATTGCGTTCTCGCTCTCTTTCTTTCTCTCCAGCGAAGTGACTACGTATGTTGATTACTCTGATGTTACATGACATGACGTGGAGCCTACGAAGAGTGTGGACAACAGTTGTGAAACTCCATAGAAGTAAACAAACACATAATCACATCCTTGTGTCAAAGGTCAGTGAAATGTGTTGTTGTATTTTTTTTATAACATTTGAATTATTATCAGGCACATGCTGGTCATATTCTTAAAACTGATTGCTTGGTCCTTACAGCGTGTACATCCAGAGAGTCCACAGTGAGATCATAAGGGTCCATGTTCAACTTTTTGAAGACTTCCTTCAGTGTGATCTTCTGAGAGCCTTTTTCCAGAACCACCTGATCTTCCTCTGTCTGGTAAGTGGTTTTAATGAACTTCAGCAGATGTTTCTGGTTCATACACGCTGCAGCATGGATGTGTGTGTCCACCTGTGCTTGACATAATGAAAAAATACACCCATAGATATAGGTTTGCTTACACTCACTGATTTTAAACTAATCTGCTTCATTTAAAAAAAACACTCAAGCGCCAGCGTCATTGTAGAGTAGCTAAAAATAAAGCTGCGTGGCCATGTGGTCCTACCTTCCTGACATTGTAAAAGTCCCTGTGTGCAACAACTTTCAGCTCTTTCAGCTCAGCCATTTCATTTAACATCTCGTGAAGGTAGAACTTGGAGGCCAGAAAGTTCAGCCTTTTGTGACAGTACGTTTTTCTGTTTGAACACAAAAGATTTTCCACCAGACATTATTTTGTCATAGTCTTAGAATGTACTTTAAAAAACAGAATTTCTTCAGTGAAAATTTGCCTTTAAAAAAAGAAAATTATGCAACAATTAAATCAAGTATGAAACCCTTGATTTCTTTGGACAGCCATTGAAAATGCAAACATCCCTTAAGAAATAGTCATTAAACCATTAACATTAATAACTTCAATACTTTGTTTTACAGTAAAATAAAGGAAATCTTCCATTAAACTTACGTTGGACCATCAGCAATCATAGCAAGGATGTAGCTCAGGTCTATAGCGAACGTCTCCAGGTCGGGGTAGGGCAGGCTGTGGGGCTGCTCTTGTTTCAGAGCTTCTGTGTTGTCATAAACATGAACGATGCCGTCTTTCATCTGGAGCTCATAGTTTAAGTCTTCAGGAATACCTTCCATGGAATATGGATCCTCTCCTTCATGAGGAAAAGGCCAAATGTCTGTAGGTGAAATTATGAAAATGAAAATCAATTATCACTGAAATTCTTTTGAACCAGGTCCAACAATCAATAAAATTTAATAATAGCACATTTTATTTGATGTTAGCATCATGATGCACAATGTGCACATTTGTTTTTTGGGGATTATTGTAAAGCAAAAAAAGCTTTAAAACAAACAGTTTATATCTCTACATCTTGTGGTGTTTCCTAGACTGTACAGAGCATAGACCTTATGGAATGTACTGTAGGCAAGAATAGTCTGAATGACCTTGTCAAGCACATCTTTCACAACATCTAACACACGAGCGGCGGCGTCTAAAATAAGCATTGAACTGTCCACAGGTATTCATCTTTATTTCTGTCAGTCCATAACAGAAGCAGAGGTTGAACGCCCGAATTACGTCACATTTATGATATTTCATTTGTGAAACCCAACACTGTTTGCTGTTTTAGACATTTATAGAATCTTTATCAGTGTTTTTTTTCTCCAGGGTGTTTAGTTGTGGTTCGACAGTTTAGCTAAGAAAGTACAAATGTATTATCTGTGCAGGAAAGATAAAATATCTTTCTTACCCCTACTTTGCTTCAGGGATAAGTACTAACCTGGTAACGTCTCGTCCTCCACTTGCCACTTTTCATTTTCAGCGGTGCGTAGGAATCGGGCCGTGGTCCTGGGGAAACGGTGGTAGGCGAGCTTGGTGTACTTCTCTCTGATACACAGCGCTCGAAGGAGAGTTTTAGCTGCCTGCTCATAATCCTCAACTGTGATCTGGAAATATTTAGAAATGTCTTCTCAACACAAATATACGTGAAATACAGTTAGCAGTTGTATGTTGACCTCCTGTCTGTGTACGTGACTATTCCTTCATGTACAGTGCAACGTTGAGATGTTTTCATCTGTTTGTACTTGACCTGCCTAAGTGCGTAAAACCTTACCTCCCCACTAGAAGGCAGGGTTGCACATCTCTGATTGCTTTGTTGTAATGCGCAGTAGTATGAGAGTGTCAGTGTGTGTGAGTGTGTTTACCCCAGCACAGTAATCTCCACTGATAGTAACTCTTTGGAAGTCTGGGAAACTCTTGGGAAAGCCCGGCTCAACTGGGGCCAGAGAAGGCATTGGTGAAACCACAGATGGAGTCCAGTCTCCTCCAAAAGGTATTTGTAAGCATACTGACTGCGAACGCTTGAACATAAAGTTCTTCTTCCTGGTGTAACAAATTAGAAGACAGATTTTAACCAAACCTTCTATATTGTTTAGTGGAGGAAAGAACAGGTTTGAAATAAAATGCTATGGTGAACCTTTTCACAGATTCTTGTGACTGATCCTCTGCCAGCTCCTTCTTCAGTGCCCTCTCTCTGGTCTCATGTAGACCGATGGGACAGTCCTCTGGCACGGTGAACAGTGCCAACACTTCTTTGCTGTCTTCTTCCTTAAGAGCTGAGGCGTATACCTTCTCTGCGATGAGGCGAACTCTCTCATCCACCTCGCTCATTGAAATTCTTGGGAAATGCCGGGGCATTTCTGAAAGACACAGAGAAGTAGAAGAAATAAAATATTTATTATCACACGCTGTGGCCTCGCTTTGCTGCTGGATTTAAAGACATTTGCGTTTATAGCCAGGTGAAGTGAACTGGTTTGCAAAGACAGAGGGAGGCAGTGAGGCCAGTGGCTTAGGGATGACAGAAATGTGATCGGAGATCTGCCACTTTGAATCCAGTACTGTTGTAGTACTGAGTATGCCGATATTTACTTTTTGCCGATATCCCATATGCCGATATTGTCCAAACTCTTCATTTCTGAATCCGATATCAACCGATACCACTGTATTTTCAGTGGGTTACTCTCTTCTCCCACCCAGTGGCTGAAAATGTTGTGCTTAGAAAGAGGGTTTTTATAAGGACAAAATTAACTTACTTGAGATACGGCCTAGATGATGATGATAACATCCTTTTGAAATCAAAGATATTTGCTAACACGTTGTATATCACTTCTCAAATGTGATGAAATATGGCAGCATTTAAAGAAGAGCTAACACCCCCGGGTGGCAGCTGTAAAAAGAAAATACGAGAAGACAAACTTGAGGCCTACAAATAAAAGTTCAAGTTAGCCACGACGGGGGTCTTAGCTGTGAGGTCGCAGGGTTTTCATCTCATCCTAACTCATACTTGTAAACATGTCTTGGGTGGCAGACTTGTGTTTCAGCGCCGACTGCATATTCTTCCAGTGAGTGAGACGAGTTACAGTAAACACTGTTAATAACTCTCAAGGCTGTTCTGAGCTGGCAACGTTATCTCTCTGTCCCCTGTGGGGTGGGGGAGGGGGGGCATGAGGGTCAGCACCTCTGAGACCTCGGTTCTTAGAATGATAAGAATCTCAGAGAAAACTAAAAATGCAGATCTAGCATTCAGACAGCAAATCCTCTGTTGATGCATGACTGTGTACAGCCTTAGTACAATAACAGCAGTTCAACGCTTTAGTAGAAAGTATGTTGTTTGAATACATTTTCATTACAGACATGCAATTCAGTTGTAGCAATGAGCTGTGGTTATTGGTTTTGTTTTTTAGCCGTAAGTCATGGTTTGCACAGATTGCTTGTGGGTTTTTTCAAGTACAAAATTACAATAAGCATTGAAATGGTTGAACCTCGCAGTAGCAGCATCCTGCCCAGCTCTCACAGCACTGAGGATATAAAAAAAACTGACTTTGATGTTCTCAGGACCTTTGGCAGAAAATACAGCCATGTTTATTTCTATTGACCTGATTCACTCCGTGATAAGCTCCAGTCCTATTTTCAGACCCTGTGAATTACAGTACATGTTGTGTATTGGATTAGTTCAAGGTCAGCAGAACTGGCTGATTGCTTAATCTTGTTGGTGTTAAAACTGAGAGTAAGAAAAAAAAAAGGTTTCTGTCCGCCACTATTCACAAGATGTTTAGCTGTTGTGAATATGTTGTCACGTTATATAACAATAAATTGGAACCATAGCAAGACAGCTGTTCAGTAATGGATTTAATCTCTGGGTTGATATTTAAGTCTACAAGCACAATACATTCAGTACTTTCATATCAAGTATCGCAGTCTTGTGTCTTTGGCTAATTGCCCTCGGTGGCTTACATGTAACTTTAGACAGATGACACATTTAACATTTGCTCTGTTGGCAAACAGTCTGCCACGTGTTGCCCGACTAGCACGTTGGTACCGGTCATTCTTGACGGCCTGTCAACCCCGTGTACTTCCTCACTACAAAACAGCTGAGCTGCCACGAAGATGACCTTGACATAATTCACTCTGCAGTGGAAACCTGAACTGTGCAAAACAGTCTGAGAGTACTGGAATCAGTTTCACCTATTTATTATCATGTCAAACGGCTGTTCTTTATTATTAGAATGGTATGATATGACAGGGCCTTCCAGGAAGAGTGTTCTTTTGTCTCAGTGTTTTTCTTCTCTGCCTGTTTTGTTTTTGGGAACTGCTTAAAAGCTTGTAGACTTACTTCCACCTGTTGTTACTAAACAGCAGATTAAGTGACTAGTTATTTAAAAAAAAAACCAATGCATTTCAGTGTCACTATAAAGTTTGATCATTTATTTATCCACCACCAGTGGACGCTCCGTCTGTCTCTTACCTTCTGTAGCAATTTGAGCCATGTTTCTCGTCAGTCTGTGCCTGTTGAATCAAGTATTTCACCTTTGATTTATCTGCTTCTCACTCGCTCTTTTAGATATCCTAGCTCTGTGTTCCAGATCCACCACTATCATATATATGCCCCCTCGCGGTTGGGCGTTACGGAACACTTGACAGTGTCGCTGAAACCTCTTGAAGCTGTCAAGTCTGTCCTGTGCTGTGCTTCCCTCTCTGTCTGTGATGCTGCTCTGCTATGTTATCACTCTGACTGACTCTGCTGGGTCCGGCTCTGCTCTTTATGTAGACCGGAGCCTGGGATGTACAATGCAGCTGCTTGTTGTTGCTGTCTTGAGTGTCTATCTCGACCTCTATTTTGGGCAGTAGGGAGCGCCATGGCAACAGGCGCTGCTAATCCAAGTTGGTATGTCACAACTGGCACCTCACATGTAAGCGTCCGTTAGGTGTGAGGTGGGACAGTAGGGCTTAAAAAACAAGCCTAGGACAGCAACTATCTGACTGACTTGACAGATTGGTACAATATACTCTGGGATTTAACTGCTGAGAAAATAAACAATACTAATAAACACTAATTTAAAACATTAACTTGAGAGTTTGTTAGATTTGCTGAGACCTCCACCCTCTGGCTTGTATTCATCCAAATGTACTTACCATTCCCAAAGCATGGTGTGGACTGCTGCTTACTGAGCGGAGTGTCTCTTCTACTCATTTTGACTAGTTTTGACCTGCAAAAAAACACAAATAATAATAACAGTATTAAATGGACAGGTCATCAAGGTGTTGATGTCTGGGTGAGCCGGAGTCTTCCCAACTATATTATTCTTTAATATTTTACACTGTATGGATTCCCAAAGTGGAAAAATGATTTTAAAATTAAGCATAAATGTGAGTATCTGACATTATTTATCCCTAGTGTTAAAACTACTCTCACTTAATTAAAGACAACTCAGATTAAAAAAAATCCATAAATATAACATGTATTTTCCACAGGAAGACAGTATCTATAGTACTCTGGGTGCAGAAACTCACACATCTGTATTTGGGTCAAGTACTGCATGACAGGTGCAGGTTTTGTAGATGAAGATAAAATATAATGCAGGAGCAGCCAAGGTCGACCAGTTTGTTCTGTACGTGAGGCATTGCAGCAATTCTATCAAAATGTGAACACAGCAGCAATAGCTCACTACACTGGAGGTTTTAATAACATCCCTGTTGGCAGGTCAGAGGGATGTGAAAGATCTGCAGCTCAGGTCTTTTCTAGACAGATGTTCTTGTGTTTCATGAGCATTTCTCATAATGGAGGAACCTTACACTAAACTTAATTTGGACAATACATATACAGTATGTGCATATATATGTATGTATATATAGAACTTAATTTGGACAATACATATATGTGCATATATATGTATGTATATATATGTATTCATATGTAGATATATATGTATGTATATGTTTGTGTATAAATATATATGCATATATATGTAAATGTTTGTGTGTATAAATATATGTATATATATTTGTATATGTGCATTTGTTTTCTATTTGAAACATTTGAAAAATGTCCTAATATGTTGCTATGTGAGACACACAATCAGATTTCTTTCTTTTATTCTCAACCTTCAACCAGGAACTCTGAGATAACAACTGAAGTTTAGTCCCTACATGGTCATGAGATGTATGAATGGCTGCTAGTGTTACTCTGAGTATTTGTTTATGTAAAACTACTTTATACAAAAGAGTAAACTCTTGTGCTTTCTGGTTTTTATAAGTCATGTTAACAAGTGCATTGTTGTTCACACCTGAATAGGTTCTGGGCCGACAGTATGATAATTTTAGTCTGACTGTACGTCCTTCCTGTAGAGCTAAAGGCTGCTTTTCATTAGTTTATTATAGTTTAAATTAAAAGTACACAATATGATGTATCAAAAACATTGTTGTACATACTTTTTGTTTTGATATTCAAGTAGAAAATGTTTTTATAGGGAGTGCAGCCGTATACAGTTTATTTATGGTTGATAAACTGACAAAAATGTGTGTGTGGATAGTTGTACAAAGAAAGTGTTTCAGTTTTACAAAGAACATGACAAGGTCATTTGCTTGCGGTTTTGTAAAGGATAAAAATAAAGCAGGAAGTAAAAATAGCAGATGAAATTTTAGAGCGAAAATTGTGACAGCAGTGTACTTACAGTTTGCAGTTTGATGCACCACGTTGACCACTTGGTTTGGCAACAGAGGAGAGAAAACAAGTCCTTTAGCAGCTCATACGGACAGAACCGTCCCTCTGCTCTCTTTCACTGTCTGTGAGAACCTGTGGAGACAAGTACGTGGGTTGTTTTGCCATGAACGGCTTTCAGGAAGTGGAGTGCAGCAGTTGAGTTGAGAAAATGCATGAGGAAGTTTGTGTTTATGTACACTGGTGCCAGCAGCACGAGAAGGGTTTAAGAAATATTAGTCACTTACAGAAATGTAGATTTTAGTTTAATCTTAACGTAAGAGTCTTACTCATCCTGACTGCTGGTTAATGTATATGTCATGGTACCTGTAACATCCTGGGAGAGCATCAGCAACAGTACTTCAATACAACTTTGATACTCTGTACTATGAAAATACACTCGTTACTTCTTGTTAGCTAGGGTTAGTAAAACTGTGGAGTCATTGTGATGTAGTAAATAAGAACAGATCATGAGAATACTGTTAGGTATTGTAGTGGTGTGCTTAACATCTTTGTCCACCCTTCCAAATATATTTCCTGAACAGTGAGGCAGGATGTTGCGCTTTTGACAGCGGATCTATTGTTTACTGCTGTTTTCTTTTTCTTTTTTTATTCAAAACCTTCCTTCTGCACAAACTTATAAAACATTTGGCTGCCCTCCCTCCCTCCTTCTGATAAGAGTTTCTGATAAGGTTGCTGCAAACATGTGATGGGTGATTTTAGGTGCTGACTTATTTTCCAGATACTTAAGTGCTGTAGTTGGTTTTTTTTTTTTTTTTTTTGGGTGTATACATGTCATTGCATTTTCTGGTCCCTACTTGCCCAGTTGTTGCTGATGTTGTACAGGCTTCCTGTGGGGAAAAAAGACATTCTCAGCTCAAAGGATTTAAAAAAAAAAAAGTTGGTGTTGCATTGTAAGTCATTTTCATCAGTGAAATTACCAACTGAACAGCAATCTCAAATAGGAAGAGCCAAAAATTGATCAAAGGCGAGTGTGGACTCCCTCTGACTGTGTGGACTGTAGTTTGCAGACTGTGGAATGTATTATAATGACGAGCTGACTAAAGCACCACCATCTGGTCAGTGAAAGAAAAGTTTTTGACTGCACGAACTTAAAAAAAGTGAAAGAGTAGTTATTGGTTTTACTATGACAATAGAACTATTTGTGTTTTTATTTCTAATGTTTCTCCATTGAAACGGGGAGTGTTGTCTCCCTAATGTAAAAATGTTGTAAAAACACCAGAAAAGAATTGACATCAATATCAACAAAACTAGAAAAACATTGGTTTTTAATTATAATTTCCATTCATACATTTTTTTACTTGAGCTTGTGCAGGAGGATAAAGGTGTAATAAAAATGTACAGACAGCTTGATAAATAATTCCAATATTTCTCTTTCTGTGTATCTCTATGTGATGAATTGCATCACTTGTGTCTGATTAATTTGACCCAAGTAGTTGCAGAGAGCTGATGATGTTCAGACCTGTTCTGGATCTAATTGAAAAAAGGTGAAGGTTAAAAGTTGTATTTTGTCTCAAAATTGTGAAAATTCACGTGTGTTTAAATAATGGTATTTTCCATAAAATAATTACCAAAAAATTATATATATGTACATACATACATACATATACATGCATATTTATATATTTTTTAACGTCTGCTAGGTTTTGACATATTCTGGAATAAAACAGACACATTAGGTTGCAGTGATCAAAACAATCCATTCAAATTCTATAGTTATTAATACCTTTTGTCCTTTTTGAGTGTTTCGCATTCCGACTTCATTCATCAAACTTTGCTTCATGATTTGCCAAAACAAACTCATTTTGTTCAAACGCAATGATTACACAATTTGGAAACAGTGACCCAAAGTAATTGAATGTGTTTCCATATTTTCTTGATGCAGGGCAGATGATAAACTGTGGTATTTTTAGAATGGAATGCCCCCCCGCTGACCATTCTCCACCCACCCACCCACTCTCCCGTTGCTTCACTTGTTTTGGACTCTTTATGCAGGAAAACTATGTTAATCAATGAGATCATTCATAAAGCATGAAATACCAAACAAAATAAAGTATATAAAATTAAATAAAAACAAATTATGATTATGTTAATCACACATTCTGGATCTTCGATGACCTTCACTTTATTAACCTTCACTGACAAAGATGTTTTCTGACATTAGGTTAATTTTTTGGCAGTTTACTCTGTGTTAGAGAATTATTTGTTACTTGTTAACAAGACTGGGAAGTACCTCAGTGTCAGTGGTAATTTAATCCTCCATCCTCCTACATCTGGCTGTTCTACGTCCACCTGTCCTTGTGTGTGTGTGAGTGTGTGTGTGCCTGCTCTACTCATATCAAATTTAAATTTGTCACTAATTTATATCATCAGGAAAAGAACAGTCAGCTGAAAATGAACTAGAAACTTTCTGCCATTTTGAGTGATTTTTATTGAATTAGCATGACCAGATAAATGTCATAACAAAAACAAAGCAACATTAACATTAACATTATAAAACATTACTAACGCTACCACAATAAGTGCTGGTTGAAGCAAAATCTGATTTTTTTTTTTAAAAAGCCCCTACATTCTTAATACATCCAGCCGACTACAGGTGGCAGCAAAACACTTGTTTTAGCAGACCACTTTCCCCCCAAATGATAGCAGAAATAAACTCCCATCAGTCCATGGTTACTGAAGTCTGGCCAAAACTCCGCTGACCTTGTGTTGAGTTACTGTTACCGTGTCTGACTTTGGACCCTCTGAACACATGTCTTTCAAAGACAATGATGATTAAATATAAAAGCATTATTATACAATATTACATGAATGTTTACACAGTTGTTATGAGCAATTATTATTCACATACATGACAGTGGTATGAGTTACAGAGTAAAATGTATAAGTTAATTTACTGAAGTTAAAATATCAAACAGGTTTACTATGCTTTATTTCTAATATATATATATATATATATGTGATGTAATGTTTTTTAGCTGCATATATATTTACATACAGTCAGGTTTATGGAGTTGGTGTGTACAAT